AAACATGAACCAAGTTTCTCCAAAATCAGAAGCAAAACCAGCTTGTCAAGTATCTAGAAAACACAAAGCCTGTTGAAACTTGGTCAGGAAGTGTTGGGTCACATTGTTACCATTACTCAGCAGAGCCGCGGCAAAAGAGCCAACGAGCTCTTTAAAGGCATTAACACGTTTCTTCCGAAATGACAAAGGGCTTCTGGTGTTCTGTAACTCTGCTTTTGGTCATTCTAATACTCGTTACTTAGTCTGCAAGGCCTTCAAAATGAAGTTTTTGGTTGTTGGGAAAGCTGTGATGAAAGCCCTGGCCCAGAACACTCGCATGATCCATGGAAACGCTCCCTCAGCCAAAGTGACCACCCACAGAATGGAAAGTAACTTAAAACATTAATTGTTTACTGTGTCAAACTTTCAGTCTTTAAGTAAAACATCTGACACTTCAAATGTGTTATGATACATGGGTTCATTTATTTTTTTTTATAAAGAGGCTAAAATAAATACAAACCCAAAACATTTTTCCTTTAAGCCAACAGAAATATTTTTTATTGAAAACTAAAAGCATGACAAATCTTGTAAGAAATGTATGTTGGGGTTTGCTGGAACTTGTCACAGAACTGTCCAACACACCCAGGCTCCGCAGGCTCCATCACTTCCCACTTCCCACAGGTTGCCCTGGAGCACTTTGCACTTATCAAAGGTTTTGGCGCCAGGACCACAGTGATGTTTTAGGTGTAAATGAGCCACTAGGGGCCGTAACAGACCTGTAGAAATAAAAATGACTCATAAACTGGGATCATAATGGTTGAGCACTAGAAAGAACCATTACATAATCAAGCCTACATTTTGTTATGATGGCTGGGATCTGTGAGCAGTCCCAGGACACACACTGTTGTTCCAGTTCAGAGAACTCCATAAATAAGTTTAATTTTGAACACATTTGACAGTTCTTTCGCAAACCAAGCTGACTTCCTGACTCAGATACAGAGTTGACAAATCAAATTATGAAAAATTAATTAACCATTCAGACAATAACGTATTTTGGAATGATGCCATTTCTGAAGCATGGTGTATACATCATGGTGCTACTGAATATGTCATATAAAAATGTCACACTTAAATGCTGTCCTTTAATTAGGAAAAAAACTTTATGTAAAAAAGGACTTGCATTTAGCACAGTTCTTGGGCTCTTTGCATTTCAGAGTCATTTCAGGAGACAGTTAATGTATTGTTTTTCCCACCCCATTAGCATACTACAATATATTTAGTTTGTCAGATAAGTAAATATGGCACTGCACCTTTATATAACAGGCACTTATGATTTATTATCCTTGTTTTTATATGCTTGATTATTCTTGCATTTGGAGAAAAAGTCTTAGTTTATTATTTTGGTTCTGTAGTTTACTCACTAGATGTATTGCTCAGCTCTGAGGTGCATGTCTCTCCTATTTATAATTACTTAATAACAGCTTTTCATGTGGCCATGAAGTGTAATTCACCCAGCCTGCCATATTTGTCTGCGTATTTCTGGCTGTAGAAATTAAATTTGATTTAAATGTTTATACTCATTAGTCCCCTCTTTGATAGCAATGGATCATGAGACCAATTTTAGAGAAGAGACATGGGCTGGGAATCAGTCACAGAACAGCAATGTGGGAGAGCAAAAGAAAATTGTAGATAAGCTACACTGGTAGTACCTGTGTATGCTGACAGAAATGCATACAACTCAACCATTCCAACTGACAATCCCTGTACTTGTGCTCTGGTAGGAACACAATGTGGGCCCGTATGGATAACAGCTGCACGCACTGTAAAGTTGTCAAACCAAATTTATCCCATATATAACTGCAAAGTGACATCAAAAATAAAATTTATCTTCATGGTTTATTATTTCAGTCGTACTGGATTTCTCAAGTAGAAGGTGTTTCCAGGACTGGGGTGAAAGGGACACTGTCTCTATGGCATAAGTAGCCACGTGTAACCTCCAAGAACCTGAGCAATCACAGCATTCTAAATAACAGAGACAGAAAAGCTGCTGCACTAAATCCCCTCATCTACACACTTGCTGATGCAAGGAAAAGGTACAAAACATTCAGGGACGCCTCCTGGTGATGAAGCTGTGCAGATTCGTCTACACTTCCTTCCTGGAGGTCAGTTCCAGGTTGATGAAGTACAGTCATGTGCCTGAATAGCTGTATTTCTGAATCTAACAATAACATTTCTGTACAGCTGCTGGTTGTAAGAATGCAGGACAAAGCAAAACCAGAAACATGAACAATGTTGTGGGTTTTCTGTTGGGCTTTGTTTGTTTGTTGTGAGAGATTCTGGATACTTTTGTTAGACAAACCAACATAATGATTTAACATTTCTTAACAACCAAATCCCAAGGGTGGGATTCAGCTCCAGAGTGTAGATACATACATATAGGAATCTAGGTGGAGGGGCTTATAGTTCAGCTGCTGTGTTGCTATCTGAGATGCTGTCAGGCATCGTGCCTGAGCCTCCGCTGCTCACAGAAGGGCACAGATCTCCTGTGTGCCCTGTATCTTATCTGCCAGCCGCATGCAAATGCTTCCATACTCTAGGGCACTAGATCCTTATGTTGATTCCCACTGGAAACTGTAGAGCTATTTGGCTCATTTTGAAAGAGACATCTTATTCAGTGATCTGAATCCCCCTCTAGTCCCTCAGCTATATTGACTAGATCTCCTCTCACTATAATGGGAGCATAACATGTAGACACAACATTCAAGTGCCTACAAGCAGGAACTGACTGTACCACATCCTTCCCCAAAGAGTTTAATGTTTGCCAAATGTAAAGACTCAGTAAGAGGCATGTGAAAACATGGGCCTAAAAAGCTTCACTAAGCTTCTCAGCAGATTAGTGTTCCAGTTTCACTTCATTTAGCAATCCTTTACATCATTCTAGCGACAACAATAACATTCAGGAAACAGGTTTTTTCAGCAGATGTGGTTGATTCATGGGCGAAGTTAAAGCCTAGACAAATTTTTTGTGGCTTCATTTTGGATCTGAATCACAAAATGTTCTGTATTCTTTAATGAAATTAGCATCTCTCTTTCAGGTTTAAATTATACAGGTTTAACAACTCATGAAAACAAACAAACAAAACCCCCATTAAGAGTGTTGCAGCTTGACAGAAGCTGTCCCTGCCAAAGTCAGGCCTGACAGCCACAGCCACTCAGTCTGAGCTAATAGGCTCTGCTGCTCTGTAAATAAAATAAATTTCCTACCACAGAGCTCAGGTTCATGGCTTCCAGGGGGATGTGGATAACCATGCAACTGTCAACACTCATCTATGCAGATGTTACTTGGCAGTTTCCTATTTTGCTCACAAGGGAACAAACCAAATATGTATGAACAATATTTAAGTTCTATTTTTAAATACCTCTTGCATAAAGAAGTATTTTGAAGAGTAAAAAAAATTAAAAATAAAAAATAAAAAAATCGCCATTGGCAAACTGTAGGGTCTTTTCTGGCCTATGATTTTCAGCATGTTCAGAAGTGATCTGAAAATGGAGCAAGGCATGAGGAGTCAAAGCCTGAGTACTGGTCTTGTCTGAGCTACACTGCAAGTATGCCTGTGCCTGGCCATGTACCTCACTGATCTGGGCACAAACCAGGATGCACTGAGTGGACTTCCCTGACTTGACCTTGAACCTTGGATCACCACAGACTTGTGTGTCTGGCAGTCACTGGCATGTGGCTGAGAGGTGACCAGCACAGGACCTGCTCAGGCACTGCGGAACTGCACCTTTTCAGTGAGAAGGACACTGTCCCTGCCTGCCTCTCTGTCAATCCAGGAAATGAGTAATGAAAATAGTCTCTTTTTCAGTTTGATTGCAATGTATGCACATTATGTGTAAGGAGATGCTAAGGCATCCCAAATACCTCCTATATAACTCTAGTATATTAATTTGAGCAAAGATGTAAGTCTAAACACTTTCTTGCTTAACATATCCCCTGCCTTCTGCTGGCTTTATATGTGTTTCCAGCTTCAACAGCTGCCTCAAGCAAACCCAGTTGCTTTTTTGTGGATTTTTGAAGTCTTGAAGATTGTTTGGAGTACTAATCTCTACTTCTTGAAATAGAAATTATTATTTTTTTATATTTATACATTTTACATATTTACAGATATATACAATTCTATTTCTAAAACTCCCAGCTCACCTTTCTTAGCGTGACAAAGGATTTCCTGTGAAGAATGTAGAATAACTGGCTGGGTAATAAAACAGCAATTAAAATTCAATGTAAATAAAGGTGAAATAATGTACAAAGGGAGCAATCATCCAAACTTTATGTTTACCAAAGCTGGGCTCTGAGCTGACTTTTACAGCTCATAAAATCTGAGTGATATGAAGAGACGGTTTCTATTACAAGATTCTTATTTAGGCATTCACTGTCTAGCTAGAAATTATCCCATGAGGGACAAACAGGAGCAACTAAAAGTAAAAGCAACAAAAGCCCCAGTGCTATTGGTGTACACCATGATGTTTTATATGTGTATGTTTTCTGGATGGCTACATGTAGAGCTGTAATAGCAACAGTAGCAGGCTTTCTACATCACAAGCTGTAAACAGTCTGTGAAGAATTTACACTGCGTGACAGTCAGTAAAGTCTAAAGCAAATATTCTGTGCTCTGGCTTTCCTTGTCTGGCACAGAAGAATGCTGCATGCATTCCTTCACATCCAGTATAACCTTGTGATGTCAGGAACACAGTAGCACCTTCACTGCACAGAAAAGGTAAACAAAGCAGAGAACATCTGAGTAGCTTAGTTTCTCTTAGAAGACCCGGAGCACTTGCATCCCTCTAAACACAGCAGCTCAAATACTGTTACAACTTGAAATCCAGTCCTTGCTGGAGCTTTGCTGTAGACGTCCACAAGGCTTAGGTTTCACTCTGCAATACTTCAGACATGGAATGAGGGTAGCTACTTGCAGGGATGCATAAAAGTGTAAAAAGCACATCTAATCACACTGAGTGTTCACAGAAGCACACCAGGGAAAGAACGTGTCCTTCCATCCGGCATTGCCTTTGTGCTTGGTATAGTATTGACAGGTTCAGAGCAAAACAAGTACGAATTCAAATCTGGAGTGGCAAAAAGTTTCTGTGTTTCACTGTAAATATGTACTTACTTTTTGTTGAGCCATAAAAATTGGCGTCATATTTATCAGCATAATAGGGCATATTATGAGATATAAAAATAACATAAAAAACAGATCTTGCTTTAAAAATGTACTTGAAAAAGGAACTAAAGAGGAGAAAACCCAGGAAACACAGTGAGAGATTCCATTTTTTATTTAGGACAAGAAAGAGGCGTTTGAGTTCTATTTATATTCTCATAGATGAGAAGAAAAAGATTTCTTTTCCCTAATGTGGAATTGTTTTAAACAGAACAGCATGAGTCAACTTGTTGGACTAAGAATCCAGATCAATAGCTTTAACTTACAACAATTTGTGTGTGTGTGTTTTGCTTTATTTTCCATTCAGTCACCTTTCAAAAGCAGTAACAACCAAAACCACCCATTCATCACCTTCTCTTTGATCCTCACTCTTGATAAGAGCTATTTTGCATCTTTGTTCTAGTCACTCCACCTCATTCCTTGCAGCAATATTATCGAGAAGCTTCCTGTTTAGGGGTGCCTTTCTGCAATGAATCCAATTACTGTGGCTCCAGGGAGGCGTTCATTGGGCAGCAAATGCAACAGGGAAGACAGATGGGTGTCACAGATGGGTGTCACAG